AATCAGTGGCTCATCGCGAGCAAATATCGCTTTGCATACCACTCCCCATAGAGGTGGTCCCATCTACAATCTATCTATTTTTCCAACTCCAACCATTCATTAGCTGTGGCCGGGTAAACAAACTACTATTCAAAACTGTTTTAATGGCTCAATGATATGGTAAATTACGACACTGCAAATGGCATTTGTCGCGACCTGCAATCACAGTGGCTAAAAGGAGTTTAAAGTGTTTTGTGCTATTTGAAGAGTGCTTATTGACTTTAGAAATAAATACACGGTGTTATGTGTCATTTTTAAAAGCTTACAGTTGCTGTTCAAAATGCGAGTTCTGTCTGCTAAGTTATTGAGAAAATGTGTGTTAAAGGTTCAATAGTTTTGAAAATTTATATTTAAGATACATTTTTAATATATCATGAAAAAGGACATAAAAACTTTGAATTAATTATAAAAGAAATATTTTAACTAAGCTTTTGACTGTTATAAATAATATTCAGATCTGTTGGGATCTTTAACTACTTAAATTGAATAAGTAAAAATTAACAAAACTGTACCACTTTTTCTAAGCTTTTTTAAGCCAATCTTATACAAATCTATAATCCTTTTTTCAATATTATATTTTAATTATTATTCTTTATTCCTTTTGTCCCTACACCTGAGTTTTGCTTCTAATAACTAGCTCACGTTTTGCCAGCTCGTTGCCACCTCCCTGAAGTGTTCATTACGGCAATGAAGCCGAAATTACTAATTCATTAATTGAAACCCCGGAACACTCAGTCCGCTTCTGACTGGGCCAGATGCCAGTCCATTGGCTCGCAGGCGACACATGCCAGGATGTCCTTGCCACCACCCACCACCACATCACCCATCACCCATCGCCCTTTCCGACTGCAGATGCTGCAAATGCCAACGGTAAAAACGAAAGTGCCCTGCTGCCATTTTATGAACTGTTTCTGCTCCGTTGGAGAGCGTACAACACTTACACTTGCCTCGCACACAAAGTGCTCCCCAGTTAATAATTTCGAAGTGTGTAAAATCAAATTGCTGGCACGTTGCGAATGCGGATGTGCGGAGCATCTGAGTATCTGTCGGATTCATGTGTGTTGGCCTAATTTGCCAGTGATTTGAGGCTCATCAAATTAATGGAAGAATTCTTCTTCGGTATTTGGTTCTTGGATAATTTATGCATAAGCGTGCTGCGACACTTTGCTAGCTTGGCGTCTCTTTTGCTTTCAGCATATGTGGCATTTTTGCACTCTGCACATTCTTTTATTGTCTGTTTTTTGGGTGTGCTTCGACGGACATTTGTCCGTATTGCAGGTGCTGTCGTTTGTTTGTCTGGACTCGGTCTCTTTCTCTATCGTCCTATCGCTCTTTCTCCCTTTCTCCTTTCTCCTTTCTCCGTCTGTGCTGGTTGTTATTGTGTAATGTCTATGAATATGAATTATGGAAATTGCAGAGCCACAGCGACAAGGACAACGACCAGCGAACAAGAGCCTGAGTATTCACAATACTCACAGTCGCATTTGGCACAATTCCTTTTTTTTTTTTGCCACTTTTTTGTCATTCGTTAGCAAATTTTAAAACTCTCCTGGGAGGGTTTTTTTTTTGTTTACTTTTGGGGGCGGTGTTTCCGAATATTTGCAGGCCATTTTTTGAGGTCGTTGGAACAGTGACCGAGTTTTGGTTGTTTTCTGGGTTCGATTTGTTTTAAAGAGTGGGTGTGGGTTGAAAAAACAACCGACCCATTTTGGGAAATCAGAAGATAGACTTCATAAAACAAATTTAAAAAGATTTTTATAAGATCAAAAATGTTTGGTTTTTATTAGACAAGTCATCAGCTTAATTGTTCTTGAATGAGTGTATATTACCCTTTGCTTATTCTCTGGGGTCTATTTACTTTAATCTCACTGAAAAATCTAATAAATACACAAAACAAATTTGAGAGCACTTCCTCCAGAGACAAATATCCCCCAGGCGATCCTGCTCCTATTAAAATCGCATAAATTCAATTAAAAGCGAACACCGGCTCTGCGGATTGCGAAATTATACGAGCAAATACAAAAGAAAAAAGGAGCACTCGTTCGCCCCCGACTGGCCACGCCCCCTACGTCGGACATCCGCCGCTGACATTTACATTTAATGCTTGCAAATTTAACAAATAATATTCAATTAACAATTTGAATATGAATTTATGACAGGGGTGCCGGCCGACGGAGGCCGAACCGCGCGTCCAAAGTGGTAACAACTTCGACATCGCCAATCGACTTGGGAGGGGAGGGTTTTTAGCGGGAAGTAACGAGTTGGCCAAGTGGCCGACTTGTTTACCCTGCCACCAGCAAACACACAAAGCGAAAAAAAAAAACAGACAAAAAAAAGCACTGAAAAACACAGAAAACAGAAAACAAAACAAAGCCCGGGGAGAGAGAGAAAAAGTTATGTGAAAAAGGTGGGAAAATGCAAGCATTGTTAGCCTTTTGGCCAGGCTAAAAGGTAACGAAGCATGCAGCCACTGACGGACGGACAAGCGGACAGAGAGACGGACAACCCGATGGAGGAAGCCGCGCAGGAAGCGCAAGGAGCATAGCACAACTCCTGGCAGGCCGCACATTTCAATAATTATTAACTGCAGCATGCTACATGCAACATGGCCACATGCAACCAGCAACCTGCAACGCGCCGCACAGTAGCAACGCACACACACACACACACTCGGTAACTAGGGGGACCTGCAATTATCAAAACTTGTCCAAATTGACATTTTTTGCCGGCCAGCCAGCCAGCCAGCCAGCCAGCCAGGTGGACGGACTCACATGGAGAGTTGGGGGCGTCAGCCCGTTGGCCATTGCATTTTGGCACGTTGCGGATTTTGAAATGCAAACAGGCATTTAATTCTATTAAGTCCGCTATTTAATTATCTCTTGCGGGCACGGTCCGCAAACGCAGCGTTCAATGTCAGCAAAGCCGGAAGAGAGTGGTTCCAAAGTTGGTTCGTTTGGTCCAAAAACCCCTCCCCAAAAAGTGCCCCTTAAGTGCTGGCCATAATCCACATCCAGGAGGAGCGGCCTTATCGCAGCTTATCTGCGAGTGCCAAAAGTGATGCCACACAGAAAGAAATAGTAATGGCTTTTAACTGGTTACCAACTAATTGGGAAATAATTTAAACTTTTCTTTAAGAAATTATTAAAATAAATAGGTGTTAAAATTATCTATGTAGGCAGTTAAAAGCAGCATATGTCTAGAAATTTATTAAGCGCGATTTAAACCCAAAAACTTTAATCAAAAATATATTTGTTTCACCTCAATTGTAAATTAAATATTTTCTATTATTCTTTTGCTAAATATTTGTAATTACGAATGTAAAATATTATTTTGCTTAAGGCTTTAATATTTTGGTGCGCAGATGGCATATAAAAATATGTACAAATGTATGTATGTATAAAGTTAGGAACAATTTTAGAGCTATTTTATGAATGTAATGTTGGATCACGCATTTAACGATATTTTTTTTTAAGTGTACATCCTAAGAAATTATCCACATTTTTATCCGTGCACTGAACGTGGATCTTGAATCTGGGATAGCTGATCGCAGATCCACAAGTAGCTGCCCACTTGTTGCGCCTGTGCCAACATTTAGCTACCGATTTGCACGAGATTATCAATTGAATATAAATAATAAGTGGGAGCGAAGTGGCTGACTACGGAGCATCTGGGTGGCTCAGCTTCGCTGTTGGCCCGGCAATTTTTCGCCCCAATGCACCCGCCAACAATGTCTGTAATTTGAGTGGCCTGCCCCGCTAAAAAAAAAAAAAAAAAGGCGAAGACCCGCGCTGATCAGAGGGAAACCTCCCTCCCTTCCTCCATCCCCATGTCCCCTGCTTTTTCCTTGTTCACGTGTGTAATTGGATTTTAAGAAGTAGCTGCGCGAGACAAGACTGATTGATAACCTCGCATCAAAAGGTCCCAAACAACAGGCTGAAATAAACGCCTTCAGTGGCTCTGGGGCTTTGATGTTCGCGTTCGTCAGCGAATATCGTAAGCGGATCTGGCTTAGACGAATGGACAACACTCTAATAGTGCAGGGATATAAAAATTAAATCTAGTCGTAATAAAAATTCAAGACAAGAAGATACAACGAGTTTGAAATACTTATACATGTTGCAAAACAATTTCTAAGCAATTTATTGGGATATTTTAAATCCAATTCTTGCAAAAGTTGAATAAATTTGTTTAACCAATTTCTCAAAATTGTGTTTAGTATTTATAAAAGCTTTTCGTATATACTTATTTAAACGTCCTACAATAATCATTGAATCATTTTTATTACTTTTGCCAGAAATAAAAAGAGTATTCAAATTTGGTAAAGCTATTTTAATGCCTATGCTGAGTTCAAAAATGCATGTTTAAGAGAAGAAAATTATTTAAAATTCATATTTTTATCTACAAAGCTGTTTATTAATAGCATTCGCACCCAGAGTGCAGGGTATGTGGGGGAAACACGCAATTCGGCTGCTCGATCGGCAGCGGGAACAAAAGCTGATAGCACGAGGTACCATAGGGAAAAGGGAGCCGCTCGAACAAGGCGTCCAACCGGGCCCAGATCCAGATGCCCCCTTCTCCCCCTCCTACACCCCCTTCCGATGTGCGTGTTGGCCGCGTTTGTTGGCCAATTGAATTGCCATGTTTAATATTAATTGCCAGCGGAGCAAGCAGCTCGAACATGACCAGCTCTCTTTTGGCCGGAGCGTAATCATGGGACAGTGAATCAATCATTTCCACACGCGGCCCCCAGGTTTTCCCGGCCCACCCACTGCTCCGCCCCCCGAGTTCATAAGTTTTTGCCCAACTTAACGTATGCTAGGGTACTAAGCCACCGACACCGCAACCTGATTAGTTTTCTAGGGTATGTTAGTAGGTCTGCTCTACACGCTACACTCTATACTCTATTCTTCGTAAACTTAAGAGCGATTAATGTAACGAAATAAAAGTGGAAATTTTCTTACCCATGTCTGTTGATATGCCGCCGTATTGTGTTAAATCAGATCTTATCTTACCTGAAAATGCAAGCAAAGCGGAGAGAAGAAAACGTTTAAAAAATGTGGAATCAAAATTGTTTGCTCTCGAGAGATCTCGAGATGCAGATGGATGGTGTTTGGAATAAGGGGGTTCGTGGGGAACTGGGGGGGCATCTTAGGGTTAAGCAGCCGCACGTGTTGCGGAGCTGGTTAAGATTTGCTAACCAAAGCTTTGTTGTTGTCGGTTGGATAATGGATATTGAATAGAGCAAGAAGGAAAGGTGTAAAATTCAAAATGAAAGATTAAAGAAATCGCAAAAATTATTTGACTTAAAGAAATATGAAATACCATTGAAATAAACCTAAAATCTGATAAGTTGTATAGTTTCAAATAATATTTTGAATCATTCCCAGGAAATGTTAAATATTATCATTATCTAGAAAAAATACCATATCACTAGAATGGTATCGGCCTAAAATACTTATTAAAAAACATTAAAAATGTGTACATCAAATCCTAAAATTATACTTTACCAGCCTAAAGGTCTGATTTTACGAACTTCTAGGCAAATTCTACATTTTAAGCATATATACAAGTAATGTCGCTTTATGCAGTGCCAACTCTAATCAGCTTGGAACGCTATTAAATTCAATTCAGAAGGGTGCTGTTTCTAAGCCACTCAAAGTGCACTCCATAGCTCTTGATAACTCGTCTGGCACTACGAGAGTCTTTCAAAGTTTGAACTAGGGCTATCAATCCCATTTAGACTGATTCATGGAAGCGGCATTATCGCCTCTTTCTATCGCATTTGCTGGATGTCTCGCCTTTTTTCACGATATTTAGCGTCGCACCGGCTTTGTTTATGCCATGAAAGTGCAAAATGTAAACAATCCGAAATGCCAACGCCTCGAAAAGTGGGCGTACGGGGGGGGAGCCCGGCGAGGGGGCGTCAGCAGCTTGCCGTGGAAAAGGTAAAAGTATAAAAATATGATTTAATGGCAGCGATAAAACACGTGTGTATTTAAATATGCGCGCCTGGCGCCTGAGTAAACGTAATTTCCAGCTCACGGACACTGAGTGCCGCACACAGATACTATGTGGCCATCCAGACGCAAAGAAACAACAAAAGAAATTATTAAATTAAAAAGAACAAGAAAGCGGCCAAAAACTATGAGGGGCAAAGGGTTTAAATTTGACAAACGCTTGCCTCTGCTCTCTATATTTTTACTTTGTAAACGAAAATTATGAAAGAAAAAAGTGGGAAAAAAACGGAGTGGGGAACGGAGCCAGCCACTTTAGACAAATTCAAACAAATGGCTGGCGAAAGGGGGATGCTGTATGCTGAATGCTGTTTACATGCGACGCGACTTGTAAAAATTAAACATTTAGTTTGCGGTCTTGCCCCTGGAAAACGCACCCCTCGCCCCCTCGATTTTCACACCTTTTGCGCGGGGGAAATGATTTTTATGACTCTTTAAGGCGGCGCACGCTTCGTTTTTGTGGGAGGATTAGTCGCCAGCCGCATAAATGAGAGAGTCTGGATGCTCCGGGAGAATGAGAGAATTCTCATTTTCCGGCTGCAGCTTGCGGCGTCTTTGGCCTTTTATTGCCCCATCAAAGGGGCTGATATAAATCTTAATTGCCGACCCAAATAAATAGACGGCTAGAGCATGTGGCATACGAAACTTTGAGCAGAGCATCAACAGAATGAACAGAATGCAACTCGACGTCTAACGTCTAACGTCGGAAAGCTTCACTTTCGAGTGGAAAACTCGTTAGCTATTTAGCATAAACACTTTCCCAGTTTGACCAGCAAACTGATAACAACTGGCCGACAACAACAACGAGAAGTTGCAGCCAAAGAAGTCATTAAGGAAACATTAAATTGACATTAATGTGGCCCCAAAAAGGAGCCAAAAGATCCAAAGGAGCCCAAAGTTCTGACCAAAGTTCGCTCAGATAAATCAAAATAGTAATCTATAAATTATGGTATACAAGCAAATGTTTGGAGAATGCGGCGAACAAATCGATGACCCAACAACGAAAAAATATATTCAAGCTGCTATAACAGTTACCCACATTTTGGTTTTGGTCAAGACAGATCTCGTAAATCATGGAGAGCTGGCAAAACAGGCTCTTTTGAGGAAGGTATCAACGAATCTGAAATGCCCTAATTTTTACTAAAGAGTGGGTAGTGCAAACTAGTTTGGAATAAAAGGGGTTTTTCCCAAAAAAAAAAAAACATGGCATAACACTGTTTAACTGTTCATTCAGATACAGTGATATTTAAAATTTTTGAATGGCGTGGAGAAGCGATAAAAATATGCCTAATGATCTTCAGGCTTGAGAACATGTGGCTGTGGAACATATGTCTACACAGAAAACAATTTATGTTAATTTTAAGTGTCTATAAAAATATTAATTTTTTAATATATGCTATAATATATCTATGTTTGATTTTTCTATTATTTTCAAAGGTTTAAGTAGAAGAGCTTTAGCGTTTTTTTATAGAAAATATGGATTATCCTTAGTCTCAAACTTATTTTCCAAAAAATATTTTTTAATTCTATTCATTTTAAATTGTTTTGTCAATAACCATGAATATTTTCCCGTGCAGTTCTATTGGCAGAGCCACCTGAAGCCGGTAGACTGGACAATTGTGAACCCATTAATCTTTGTCTTTTTAGTCTTGGAGATTTCTATCTTAATTGAAGCTCATTATAATATGCGTTTCCTATGCGATGCGGCATGTTTGTTTGCTGGTAGCCCAACTTCTGTTACACAACTCGAAGACAAGCGATATTCAAACGAGCTGGTGGGCAGCTTTTGCACTCGGAGAACTTGGATCTGTGGTGTGGCGATGGCGATGGGGATTGTGGATTGGGGATTGGGGATCAGATCGCAATCAGGCCGTCCGATTCCAATATGAAATCCCGGCAAGAGGCCACCACCAATGAATTATTAATAATAAATAAATCATTATTAAAATCAAAATAATACGCAAATATGCATATTATCGGAAACAACATGGAATTTGGGGGGCCAGCTTGTGCGAGTGCGAGAGTGTGTGTGCGTTTCTTTTCATGTTTACGCCACTTTCTCATACAGACACACACAAGTGGTTATAATGAATGATTTGTTGTTTTATAATAAACACGCCGAGCGTCGAGCAATGTTGGCGTCTTCCAAGTGGCGATGGCTGTGACGTAGCCACCAAAGGGTTAAGGGGACGGGCGGAGGAGGGTCTTATGTTTTGGTCACTAAGGCCTGCTGTCTGCTATATTCCCAAACTCCCCCGAATATATCGTTGTATTCGCGACCCTTGTACCTTTTGGTATGGCTGCATTTCGGCCCCCACTTTGGCCACTTGCATGTGTGTTGGCCGGGCCGTGTTGTTGTTTTTATTAGGTATCAAAAACACCTTAAAACATGATTTTGCGACTGCCAAGAGAAGACGTCCGCACAGTGGGCCCACAAATGTGAATAATAACTGCCTGTTCACATGGCATTTCTATGTCAAAGAGATGATCGATAAGGCGAAAACGCCAATGTCAAAATGCGGAAGAAACTCACAGTACATATACTCTAATAATTATTTCTTATCTGCGATCGCTTCTATATACAATAGTTATTATTTGTTTGAAAAACACAACACCTAATCATTTTTAATGGGGTCATTTAGGGGAGAAATGTAAATGGCGAATAATAATTAGTCTATTCTGAATGAATGCGTTGAAATATAATACATCTTAACAACTTAGCGCCGCTCGTTTGTTTATAAGTTTTTGTTTATTAAGTTCTGCTGTCAACCTTTACATTTTCTAACATTTGATTAAGAATATTTATTTGTTTCTATTAAATTATTTTTTCCCTATTAAACATGTAGATTAATAGAATGTTGTTTGTTAAAAGTTTAAACTGTTTATAATAAAAAGATTTAAATTTTTAAAATGTAAAAACCTGTGATTTTAAAAGAATTTTGAAGATGGAAGAACGCAATACATATTTCACCGTCACAAATTTTAAAAAAAACAGAACATTCATTTTTTAATTAAAATAAGTTAATTTAAAAGTTTCCTTATGATGCTAGAGTGCTTAAAACTTAGGTAATAAATCTTTGTTATTATTTGCTTTTAAAAATTGTAAACTATAATAAATTAAAGTTTTATTTTGCACATATTTTGTGTTTTTTTAACAAGAAATTTAAGCAATTGCCCATTGCCGCTGCGGCGGGCCTCGAAAAATACAAGAGAAAATCCAAAATTGCTCCTCTCGCCCTGCAGCTCCTCAATATGGTTGTTGTTCTTGTTGTTGGGCCATGTGTCTGAGCCACTTTGTGTTGTCGTCGTTGGCGACGTCGACGTCTTGCAACTTCGGACTCCTCGACTGGCAGTCGCAGTCGATGGCGCAGTCGATGCCGCAGTCCGAATACGAGTCCAACGACTTGAGGACCGCCAAGGTGCTTATTAAATTCCTTATTTAAAAATACATTAAAAAAATGCAAGAAGCTGCCCCAGAACCCGAAAACCAATCCCCGAAAAAGCGATCCCCGGGAAGGGGGACTAGCATCCGCTACAAAAATTGCGATGCGATGCGATGCGATGCTCACAGGCGCTTTGATTTGATTCTGATTTTCTGTTTTCTGATTTTGCATTCTGCGTCCCGCGAAAAAAATGATTAAAAGCGCGCGTTGAAAGGTTTTCCTGTGTGCGTTCGCTTGCACTCGCCTCGCCATTTACATAATCATCGCCGCACTTCCTCTGGCAATTAATTGCATGTTGCAGTGGCAACTGTTGCCTGACATTTGAACTGCGAATTTGGAATGCTGCAGGATGCCAGCCAAATGCCCACTGTCCACTGTCCACTGTCCCCTGCCCACAGTCCATTAACCTTGAGCCGATCTGACGTGCCCTCGGTGGTTCTACGTGTTTGCTACAATTGCAGGTAGATGTGCCAGGATATAAGGCATCCCGATAATTACGTCACAGCGTGCGAGTTCTTTGCTCGCCAACTGCGGCAAATATGAATTATGATTGCTCGATACGTGTCAATTGCCGGTCCGGCCAGCTATTCTCAAGGTCATTGTGGGACAAAAAAAATAACAAGCCACAGACAAAATCTATCTTTCAGGGTAGACTATATTTACACAGAGAAAAATTGTGTTATAGATTTTCCATTGAGATATTTTCTCGAAATATATATAAAAAAATTTCATGGGGTCCAAAAAATCACCGTTTATAAATAATTTTATGTGTACCATCTACAATTGTCAAATTATACGATTGTTTTTTGGTTATTAAAATGGAAGTTTTTTACTCAAGTATTTAAAGCATTTTCATGTAAAATAATAATTTTTTGGTATATTTTTCCCTGTGCACTGGTCAAAATTAGGCGGCCGACAAATTTCGGACAGTCGCAGAACTCAGCCATAAACCACTTCGCCGACGTGAACCTCACACACCGGCCCGGGCAAATAAAGCAAATTTACGAATTTATGTTGAAATTTATCGATAATGACTTAAAAGCCTTCAGGACAATGATTTAATGCTCCTCGCCCGCCGCTCGCCGTGCTCGCACATACAACACACACAACACATACAACACACACACAACTTAACGGCCCAAGAACAACATTGCGACGCCAAAACCAACGCCAACAGCCAGAAAACTCTGATGTGGGTTTTTCAAATGTGAAGCCATGTTTAGATACGATAAAATTGAATTCGGTTTGCATTTCGGGCCGCGGATCAACGGCAAATGATCGATGATCGCTGGAAGTGTGCGCCGATTTATTTATGACTTGATTTTCCGTTGCGATCGCCCAATTTAATCAGTTCGCTCAGAGCAAATCGCTTAAAATTAAATTATATTCGCATTATATCAAATCAGCGATAGCAGTTGACAAATGGCACTCAGGCGGATTTAAGTTCAGGGAGATGGAGATAAGACAAAATAATATATAAATTTTAAATCACGTAGATGCCATCAGCAGATAATCCAATTCCCAGGTCTCAAGTTCACAAAACTCAACTCACTCTGTCTGAATATCGTAACTGTCTGCTCGTCTCGTTTTCTTATAAGAAACATAATGGTAAGGATGGCTGAGGTAATCTTGTTTGACTGTCTTCAGGTAAGAATTTATTAGAATTTCTTAGAAGACACATTCCCCTTAAGATGTTATAACTCTGAGAGATTGTCCGATGAACTTGAAGTGTAATACAAGGCACCCTGTATGAAGGGTTTTTGGCAACGTTTTTTTTTTGGCCTGGCCAATTCATCACCGACACTTCAAACTGGCCTGACACAGCGCATAAATTTCATTACGCTGATCATCTCGCAGAACCGATCGAATGGCGGGGAAAACCTGTCGCAAGGCTCTCGAATTTAGTTCAACTTTAATTGTTTTTTAACCAGCTCTTCGCGCTGCCTTTAAGTGAAATTTGATTGATTTTTGAAGGGCATTTTTCGCAAGTTTACATTTTTACACAGGCAAAAATAGTGAAAATAAAAGCAATAATTACAGAGGCCATGGGAACATTTTAAGAAATAAATTAAAACTAAATCTGGTTTTTGGCAATAGGAGAAACAATAAAATATCATTTTCTGAACATTTAATTTCTGATGTTCTAGATTTTGTTTAACAAATCTATAATAATATAAATATTAAATCATATTAAGGTTTAAAAAAAATGGTTGTTATATTTGGAATATTTTTAAACATGTATTCCAAAGTCTAAACAAAATTTTAATTTGGATCTAAAATATATTATGTGCTATTATTTGGCATTGCTTTTCCTCAGTGCTGAGTTGAGTGCAATTTATGTTCGATCTTCGAGCACCTAGACCTCCTTCGGCTGACCTACTCTTGGCATTGTTCTTGGCCCAAACGGCAATCTCGGACTCGGACGCAAGCCGTTCGCCTCGCTCGGCTGGTGGCTTTTAAGCCCGGGGTCGGACAAAAAGTCGGGCGGCGAGGTGCTGAACGTAATTACATAATGGCGTAGTTAACCGTAATAAGCGCGACTTCTGCGCCCAGTGTGTGTCCTGGCTGAAAGGATTCAACCTTCCCCTTTTTTTCGCCGGCTCCTGTGGCTGCCTTTGCTGCTCCTTTGCTAGTTTGCAGCTCTTTCAGCCGCATGCCATAATTCACGCTGCGCGTTGCCGCTCTCTTGTTGCACAAATTGCAGCTCACTTGGGCTGCCAGCGCTGCAACAATTACCGCCGAGCATCATTAAAAGCAAAGGTGACAAAAATTAGTAAACAAAGTGTTGAAAATTATGAGGCAGTCGGAGCGCTGCAAGGTGTCGCGGATCGGAGCAGGTGGAATCGGAGGGTCTGAGCTGGTTTCTCATTTTTCTTTCTGGCTGCCCATGGTTCTTGTTTATGGCTCTGATCTCGCTAAGAGTGATTAAATCTCTTGAATTGCCGACCAGCGAATAAACTATGGCCAGATTGGCAACCCGACTAGCCAGCTTTAAATAGAATAAGTGGAAAACAATTTGCAGTTCATTCAACGTCACTTGGCCAAAAGGAATTCTGAAGAGCTCATGTTGAATGGGGTTGTAAAGTGGGTAAATATTTTAATAATAATATGCAAAATTTGTCAATCAGATATTAGACCTAACTTATTTTAAATCAAGTCAAAAAAATGTTTCTTAAATGCAATATCTAAGATTTTATTTTATAGTCATTAAACATTTGTTAATTTAAAATATATAAAAACACTTAATGTGGTTTATGTGAACATTATTCATATTTAATTTTTTAATACTATACTTTCAGATACTATAAAAAGTTTTTAAAAAAAAAACAATATGTAATATTAATAGTTCTGTGTTGTAGTAAAAATAAACTTTCACAATTAAATTACAATATTAGAGGATCTTCTAATGTAAATAAAATAATTAATTATTTTTGTCAGATTTTATATGTGTTTTACTCCTTTTAAATGCTTACAATTATGAATTAAAAAAATTTCTTGTAATAAAAAAAAACTAGTGAAAATGTTGGCGATTTTCGAATAAGGTCTGTTTTTTCATGTAGCTCCACTTGTTTATCTTGGTGACTTTGTTACAATTACTTATTATCTGTTTTTCCCTACGATCGAAGTGAGCTCTTCATTATTTTGATTTTACATGTTGACTTTGTCTGTTAATCGGTGCAAAGACAGCAATTAGTCACAAGATGACTTTTGATGAGTTAGCTGCAATCTGTTGAGCCTGATGGCAGCTGGGAAAACAACAAAGCTTTGGTTTCGAGAGGGATATTTATTGTTGGGGGGAAAGGGGACTTTAAGTGGACTTGTGCTACAGTGGACACTCACTTTTGGTCGGATCTTCAGGACACTCACCTGCGATAGCCATCCAGGGGTAGAATGTGTGATTGCTGGCCTGGTGTAAACTGCTGGCGGCCGCCGTCTGAGCGGCAGCGGCGCCCGAGATGGTGCAGTTGGCGTTCCAGGCGGTGCCCGCTGCGGCCACGCCCACGCCGCCCTGCACACCGCCGCCGTTGCCATTGCCGCCGCTGACGCTCACATTGCCGCCGGCACTGCCGCCGCGATGGCTGACGGGACTGCCGCCCGAGGTGTCCAAATAGCCGCCCACTCGGGAGTCGGGTGTGCAGGCGGAGGGTCGAACGGGCATGCCGCCCGCCGGATTGTTCTGTCCGTTTGCATTGGCCGCATTGGCTCCGTTGGCTCCGTTGCCGGTGGCTCCTGCCCCGCCGCCGCCACCGCCTCCTCCGCCACCCCCGCCGCCATTGGAGCCGCCCGTGTTCCAGATGTCCTTGTAGCCATTCACCGCGTCCGCCTTGATGTTCAGGCAGTCCTGCTTGTAGGCGCCGGCCCCGTCGCCGTATATCTTGTTGCAGGCGGCCGTGATGCTGGCGTCGTAGGGCGAGTCCTGGGTGGTGCGCTGCAGATGGTGGTTGGCGTAGGGACTCATGCCCAGCGACAGGGGGAATCCGCGGTAGGCGGCCGCCGCCGCACTGGCCGTCTGGTCGTGGTGGCCGCCGCTGCCCATCGCCATTCCGGTGGCCTGGTGCGGATGGCCGTAGAAGCCGGAGGCCTGCTCAAAGTACGAGTTCATTGCGCTGCTGGCGGTGAGAATCTTGGCGGTGCTCCGTCCGAGACGGGCTGAAAATCGTTGGGGGCTTGACTGTTTTCTCTGGGGTGTGTCTCTGGATCTCTGCGATTTTTGGCGGATTTTTAATCAAATATTTTCTCCAAGCTATCTGTGATGTTCATTAGTCTTGTTTTGATTTTTGCAAAATTTTCAACTTTATTTAAATTTTATTTTGATGAAAATATTTTTATTTGTTGTTTAAAGTCTTTATAAATTTTATGTTTAATATGTTCTCAATGGCATTATTTTGTAAAATTTCGATATAAATATTTATTTTTTAATTCTTTAAATATTTATAAAATATTTTTCACAAGCGGTTGTTTGGTAAATATTTTTTAAAACGTTTATTTTAATTATTGCACTTTCCACTGGGGGCCTTAACTTGGTTTAAGCACTAATGTTTGTTGAACATTAACTCCGATAAATAACTTTAAATATTTCTTCACTATTGTTTACAGTTTCACAAGTGTTTCGTATACTTTGTTGCGTTTTGGTTTGGTTTTTTAGCCAATTGCACTTTGCTGTTAATTGAATTCGAATTTGAATACTTGTTTAGCGCTTGCCTTGGCACTATCAAAGGCTCGTAAGCGTTACGATTATTACTATGTTTATTGTTATTGCAATTATTATTATTATTTTTATGGCTTTAACGATTTGAACGATTATTAACCTTAGTGCTGACCGAACGAGCGCGAATGCGGCTGACGGATTTCCTCGAATCGGGACGCCAATTTAGTGGAAAGCGACTTTTCCGCGCGGCATTCACGGGCGGACGCGTGGGCGAGCGGTACTGCGCTGGGGGCCAATAATAACAATAATGCCGCTGATAATGTGGATAATAAAACAAAGCGCGCGCCTGTTATCCAAACCGTTGCCATCGAACGAATGTGCCACCAAATCGCAGTTGCCAGTGTTTTGACTTTGCTCCGCCGAACCACTCAGCCCGATTCCACTCAACTCGGCCCAGAACGAGTGGAACCGAGAGCTCCAGCCAAAACAGAGAGCGTGCGAGGAGGGCAGAGCGTGCTCAAACCAGCCCGCTCGAATGAATTCCCACCGAGAGTTCATTTTCGCCGCGCTCAGCCTTCGAACTTGTTCGAGCGCTCTTGCGCTCTCCGCTATTCCCGGGGTGGTTCATCATTCGCGAGGAAGGAAAATGCGCTCGCCGCGGGAAATTCATCATGGAGGAGGGCTGATTTTCCTATAGGCCAACTCACTCAACTGAGTGGCGAAAAACGCTCGACGGACTGCTCGCCAGTTGCCAGTTGCACGCCATGCGCTGCACATCTCGCTTTGACTCGGTTTCAGCGCATTTATGCATGCAATTCTTCTGTTTTTATGCTACTAAAAATCTTACGAAATGTATGCTGCAAAGAATATTAAAAAATTACATTTATTTAAAACTAAAATGTATATTACCTAATGAAAAAACGTCGCTTTTTTGTAGAACAAGTAAAAATGTATATTTCCTACAAAAATGAAAAACACTTGGTATATTATCATGCAGTTATCCTGTTTTTCGCTGCTGGAAGTCTCACAAAATTAATGCTACAAGTTTTTATTATTAAAATGGCTTATATAAAAAAAATTAACTGAATACTAAAAGCGATTGCTATATTGTCTTACATAAATATTTTTTAACTCATTTTGCTGACAGTTTTCCTAATTTCTGCATATAATACAAAAACTAGTATTACTTTAAATTTAACAAAACAATACACTTTAAAAATAATCTTTAATTTATATAAAAAAATGATTAAGCTAAAACCGAGTTCAATAATGTCCTATCATATCAGACTATAGCATTACCAGCTTAAAAACAAAACGAAAAATAAAAAATCAAAGAAATAATTGGTATAGTTTTGTTCCAGTGGCCTCAAAATTATATTGAAAAAATAAACGATATTTAAAATTAAATTTTGTTTGGCTTTTCGGTGGCAGAATAATAATTATAATAAGTAATTAATTAAAATTTCATACTTTTGTTAAAGAATATTAACATAACATAAAGCTTATACCACAAATTATTTTAAATATATATGTTTATTAAGAAGCATTTTCAATTTCCCATATATAATAATAATTTTTTTATTAAAAATGTACAAAAGTCATATCATAATTGTTTTATCTTAAAATGTTTTCTATTTTAATTATAATTTATTTTACTTATTTCCTTTATTACATCTGCACAAAAATAATTTAAATTATTCTAGAAATAAACTTTTGTAAAGATGTTCAAATTTAATTGAATAACAACTGAGCATATTGATTCTACTTTTAATATATTATAATTGTCATTTAGAAAGGCTTCATATTTTCAAATTGAATAAGATTAATTATTATATACCCTAAAGACTGATGTCATAGTTATGGAGCAAATTGTGATGTTGTTTATTCGAAAAATAAAACGCTTCCGAGATCAGTTTATTGAAGTGTACATCTCGTCCGGTTTGCCTTTAATATGTGATTCAGCCGAGAAGCCGGAAAATTTGTGTGCTGCGGTTTTCCTTTTCCTATTCCTATTGAAATTCAAATTCGCATTCGCAACCGAATGTTCAATCCGTTCGCCAATACTTTCAATGGGATATTAATGTCAATGTAAATATGGCTGCGAATTGATGCTAATAAATTCATATGCATAATGCAAATAGATCGGGGTCTTGCAGACCGAGAACGCAGAGCCATTCGCGAAAGTTTCGCAAATATTTGTCAAAGTTTCCACATTCGCACAAACGGCTCGTAGATTAAGCCAGAAACCGACGACGAACAAACAAAGTTGCTTGCCACAAGTGTTTGCAAAATAAACTTATTATAAGAAGAAATTTACTTTTCTACTTTTCCACCCCCCGCCCGCGCCATTTTCCATCCCCCATTCACCGCCTGCGATTCGGAGCCAAGTCTGAAAAATCAACAACAAGCAAAAGATACAAAAACTTGCACAAAACACAGATACACACACGACCACACACACACACTCGAAGCGGAGAAGCGGCGACATTTTCCAAATATGCGGCCAAAAGCCCAAGAAAAACGAAGGCGAGAGGACCCAAAGCAAGGCAAAAGTAAAAATCGCAGTCGCAACTGCAAACTAAATATCGTGAGTCGGGACCGGGACCCAGAAACTCGGAATCCAGGACCCAGGGGAAGGACGAGCACAAGGACTCGCGGGGATGACAGAGAAATAGCCTCATAACCATTTGAAGCCATTCGAAGGCGCATAAAAGGATCACAACAATCGCCGAAATGAGCCATAATGAGCTCGTAAAAATTTTGCTACCTAATATACTCGGGAATCTTACGGGTACGAGTATATTCAAACTTGCTACGTTATGGGGTATGCAATGGGGCAGCTTCCCCTCGTTTCCCCCCTTATTCTCTTCTGTGTTTTTGGCTCCTGCAGGAGCTCCTCCGCGTGCAGAAAGTTGGGGAACTGAGTTTTGTTTTTGTTCGACATCGATGATTGTTTTTTCCTCCGCTGTGCATTCTTGAGTTGCTGGAATAGGATCGTTGTGGTTTGGTTATTGATTCATTCCGTTTTCATTTCAGCTAAGAATAAATTATATTGAGAAGGTCTTTAAATACTAAAAGCATGTCTACCTTTTGATGTTTGATTTTAATATTAATGAAACTTTATCTTATTAAAAATGACATTTTTGACTTAATTATTTCAATTATTTTGATGTTAATTAATTATTTTGATGTTTGATTTTAATATTAATGAAACTTTATCTTATTAAAAATGACATTTTTGACTTAATTATTTCAAAGTCAAAAAAAATAAATACCAACTATATTGTAATAATAACCAACTATTTGTATTAAAACTTAATATAGCTCACAAAGCTTTTATATATTTTTAAAGTATAAGAATTAATTCAATACTAAATAATAAAACCAATATACTTCTTAGGTACATTTGTATAGGGAACAGTCAAAAATGTACTCTCTTGATTATTTTTAAGTCATATATTTAGTAATATTTTTAATAGCCTACCAATATTTGTAATAATGAAACCATTTCAATGTCAACTATTTTGTTAAATCCGTTTTAAGTTTTCCGGAATGTGTTTTTCCCAATAGAACGTGGGTATTTTTAAAACTTTTATATAGGGAAAATAATATAACAGAGTCTAGAAACATTCCAGGCAAAGCAATCAATTAGTTCTTCTCCTAGATGTGTAAACACGTTTGAACAATTGAATCCCCTGCCCCGCCCACACAACCCGAAAGGGAGGATTCGATTGTCTTGGCATAAAGTCGCAGCGAGATTGCGCGATTCCCGATTCGCAATTCGATTCCCAGGCATTTGCATACAAAGCGATCTCATTTTCATATGGCCACCGCCCCCGCACCGCTGTCATCGGTAGCTTGTTGCGGCAATTTACGAGAGCTTCCGTTCTGCGAAAATGGGGGGGAAAATGGAAAGCTTACACCTGAGCATGGTGCTTAAGGTGTCCAAGCTGCCCAAGGCGAACAGCTGCCCAGGTGCCCAGTTGCCCAGTTGCCCAGTGGATATGGACAATGCTAAACGCGGCCAATTAGCCCCGAGGCAGCCGAATTTGTAGCCAAAACTAACTCCTCCTTCACACCATCCCCTTGATTGATGGTCTCCATTCGCTTTCGAGAACTGGTTGCAGGGCAATTAGACAAGCAGTTTAATTGCCACCTTGGCAGCTTGGCAGCTTGGCAGCTCGTCTGCCTCCTCACCCGCTGTTTTATTGGCCGCAATCGCTCAAATCGCTCAATGCCATCGGTGAGATAGGCGCACCACCCAATCTAATCATAGTCCAAAACAGATACGTTCGCCCCCCACCTGGAAAATTGGGGGGAGCCACTTACGCAGCTAATAAAGCAGCAATTTGGCAGCTGGAAGCGCCGGCGCTGACGCCAGTCCAAAACATCAAACGGCCAGTACCAGATACTTGCCTCCCCCACACCCCCCTCCCCCCATCCGAGATCAAAGTTGTGGGGCCGGAGGTTTATTTACACTGAAATGTTCAACGAAATACTCGAGCCTGGCCGCCTGCACTCATCGTTTGTTTACGTATTGTCTATAAAGATTTTGGCTCTGTCTTTCGGCATTTTTTCGGTTCGATGGGGCTCGGCACCTGTTAGATGATGCACTGAGCGTAATAACTACATGGAGCTGAATGCTCTAACGAGCTGTTTAAAATTTTAAAAAAATATTTGTCTACATAACATCATACTTTTTGTT